CATATGGATGGACTGAGAAAGCTTATTAGAACAAGGGCAGCAGCTAAATATCACTAGAGAGAGCCTGGATAAAAGAAAGGAGTTAAGACAAGATTTATGAAGAAAGAGCAGGAAGAAGGGATGAGGCTCAATTCCTGTAGCGAGACAGGTAAGCAAAAGTGTGACCAACCCAAAGGTTTTGTGACACCTACAGACATCCAAGGGATGTTAATGAACTCTTTGGAGTGAAAGACTATTTCAGTGGTTTTGTTCACGTGTTCACTTAGAAAATTTAAAAACACCAAAGCAATCAGCAAATAATTATCTATAATCTACCAATAAGATAATTAGTATTTATACTTTAGCATAATACATTTAAAAATCAAAAAGAGGCTTACAAAATGTTGGGCAGAAATCGCAAAGTCAGTTCTTTTAAAAAATTAATATGAATCTTTGCCTTGCATTTTAACAACATATTTATTAGTAATTTTGTTGAAATACTGGGGTCATGGGGGAAATTGTTATAGTATGCACTGAGAAAGGATCCCATGTTGGTTTGTAGCAACCTCAGGTTTTCCTTGAACATTAAGATTAATCAACATTACAACTTGCGGAGAGTACAGAATGGCTTTATACAGCTAACCAAGTTGGAGTCTATGTATATGTGCATATACTTAAAAGAATTGGCATCACACAGTGTAAAACTTTCTAAATCTGCTCTTTTAGTTATGAGAATGTCCTTTCAAAATGCAATGAGAATTTGGAAAAGACAAAATCTGATTCTCCCTGGCAGACTTCAGAGGTAATGTGACCATGCCAACACCTTAATTCCACATTTCTCGAGAAATGTGAGAATTTGTTGCTCTATCTATGCCACCAAAAATGTTTTTTTAAAAACATGGCTCTTAGCAACTACATAGTATTCTCTTCCAGGGCATGATTAACAATTCTCCAATGCTAGGCATACATACTTGTGATAGTAAAAACTGTAACTGTAATAATCATTCCTGTAAGTTTTGCATATTCATTATTTCCACATGGTAAATTCCTAAAAATGAGTCAAAGGTCTTCAGCACACTTTAATAATATAGTGTAGCAGTCGTTCAGAAAGGTGCATCAATTTATATCACTGTCAGAAAGTACACCAAGAGTTCCCACTACATCGTCCATCAAGACTGAACACTTTTGTTCTCAAACTGAAAATACGGACCTATAAAAATGAAAGCATCTCTAAAACAAACCTGTACCCCACCCAATCTATCCACACTCAACAAACAAGTAACAGTGGAAACAAAGACTTCACGTAAACATACGGTATTTTCAGGGAAATTTTAAAGTCACTACTGGAAAAGCAACTCCAAGAGCATGCCATAGTTGCAATGGTCTACCAGCATCATTTTACTATGAAGTCACCACATTCTCATGCAAAACAGTATCGCCAATCTTAGTCTATGACTGAAATATACTTTTCTGTATTAGATTTGATTTGGATTAAGACTCCAACCTGGTTAGACAGTATGAAGCCATTCTGTACTTTCCGCAAGTTGTAATGTTGATTAATCTTAATGTTCAAGGAAAACCTGAGGTTGCTACAAACCAACATGGGATCCTTTCTCAGTGCAAACTCTAACAATTTCCTTCATGACCCCAGTATTTCAACAAAATTACTAATAAATATGTTGTTTAAATGTAAGGTAAAGATTCATATTAATTTTTTAAAAGAACTGACTTTGTGATTTCTGCCCAACATTTTGCAAGCCTCTTTTTGATTCAGTATTTTACCTACTGCTTTTTTAGTTTTAAGTACTCAAAAGTAAAGTAAGAGCAATTTAAGGAGCAATTACTGACTTCGGAGCCTCAACATAAAACATCTTTTAAAAATGATTTGTCATCACACCAAGAAGTATCCAATGACAGTTTAAAACCAAATTACATATCTGATTTCTGCAAATGAAATTTCTCTGACAAATTCAAAAAATACATTATTTCTATCTAAAAGATTCCCATATATAAAACAATTGATAAGGCAAAATTAGTTTATTCTTATTTGGTAAACAAGGATAAACTAGTGTTTTAAGGTAAGTGTTTTAATCATTTAATCCAAAATTAGATGATGCTAGGATTTTATTAATTGCAAAATGATGTAAGAAATGATCAACTGCCCCACATACATACACAAAGCTATAAATCTCAGATGCCAGTAAGATTTTGACAACTGATGTTTCCTTAAAGGGACAACTTGCACAGGAGCACGTACTCGAATCCAGAATGCCAGATGTGTTATCTCTTACACAGCTGACTAGCCAAAATCTTAAAATTGTTTTTCCTCAAAGTTTTAAGTACCATCCAAAGCAGAAGTCCACGTCCTGCCCAAGTTCTCAAAAACATCCAACTATAAAAAGCTGCAAAAACTCTAAATCCCAAACCATTTATTCTGTACAACTGGAAGCAAGTGTTTTAGCATCACTGTTTCAGAAGATGCTTTATAAGCTCTTAAACAAGGCTAAAATTAAAATTCACTGGCAGAATAAAGCAAGTCATTAAAAAAAAACAAGGAAAAAAACCTTTGATTCTATAATGTGGTAAGAGAAAGCCTAAATCACCCCCATGGTGTATGAAATAAACTATTTTTCTCTTAATGATGATTGAATTTGTTTTTCCACATCATGGTCACCAGAAATTACATGACATTTTTCTTCTCATCATTATGTGCCTATACATTTTATATGTGTGTGTTCTGTTTACTGGAATCCTCAGCAAAGGCTCTTAAATGTGTTTGAGAACAAATTGCTGATCCCTGGGTGGGCAGGGAAAGGGTCCAAAGTACAGTGGTTTTTGTAGAATGTCAAGAACATTGATGGGACTCACCAAATACCATACTTATTTTACTTGTGGCTTTCAGGGTTAGAAAAAAAGAGGTTAGGGGTTTTTCAAAATCAAAGCCTAAGTCCCAAACAAGAATTTAGGACAAAATTACCTTATCATTCAGGTCAACTTACTTTCTTTTCCAGAATATTTAACATTATAAACCCTCTCTGCAGTATACCCATTTCATAGACTCTACCTCTTGTACAACTTGAGTTTTCAAAGCTTCCTGTCTTTTTTTTAAGGGTTTTAATGAAACTGACATTTCTGCATGTCATTCCCACCTAAAAATCATCACTGTCAGGGCAAAAGGAAGAGGTTAGAGGCAGCGGCTGTACTGTATCATCACATTCGTACCTGCATCATAAGAAATCTCACACTCTTAAGGTTAAAGGTACCTAAGAACAAGGCGAACACCTCACCTCAGTCTTGGAGTGGTTCAGATGAGCTGAGTCAGACAGAAAACTGTGGCTTTACCTAATCTTATCTAGTTAAGTAGGTTGTGGTTTTCAGACACTGAAATCTCTTGCTACATTAACAACAAAAAAGTTTGATTTTGCCAGATTAACATTCCCAGTAGTTCTCAATTGGGTGAAGGGAGAGAGGTGTTCTCATACCATATATTCTCACCCTTAGAAGAAAACAGATTGTCAGTCTAACTGAAAGATTTCTTAAGTATTTATCTTAGTGAGTTAGGTAAATTAAATGCAGCAGTTCCTAAAAGCAAACGTTTAAAAAAATTATTTCAGTGGTAGGAAAATTAGCAAAGCAGCCAATAAAGGGTCAAGAAAATAGAACTGCAATTCAAGTCTACAGTAGTATTCCTTCACTTGCAGTTAGAAACAAGCATGGAAATAACACATTTGGAAATAAGTTTATAATAAAAATAGGTAATTTCCTCAGGTGAGATAATTTTTGGCTTACCGCAATTCACCTACTAATACAACTAAGAGTAAAACCATTTTACATTGTTTTGAATGGTCTTAATTCTCATCTTTCTCGCTTAAACAGTTCCCATTTAACAAGTGGACAATGTGCTGAGGGTTTAGGCGTACTGAATTAAATCCACCACCTGTGGTTTCACTATCAGAATTTTAGTTTGCACACAACACAGTATCTAATGATTTCAACATCCTGTTGCTTTGGAATCAGCTTCCTCTGCGTTAACCTTACTTATTAGGAAATGTAATACCTGTAAGAATGTTTCAAGGTCATAAAAGATGCCTACTTCCTTGCATCTGCATACACTCTAAGGTTCTATTAAGAAGGTTTAAGAACTCAGCTACGTGGGATCTTAAAAAGTAAGCCTAAAATGTTTCTTAGACTCCAAATAATGTAACTGCAGGAACCGTTTCATTTAACAGGATACCACAAATACTCCAAGTACCAAAAAAGTTGAAAGGTTTGCCCTTGGAGGCACCTCCTGTATTATCTCCATTTCGTATTTATCAAACCAACGCTCCGATGTCGCAACATTTACGCACCCCGTAAAATTAAGCTCAGAAGTCAGTTTCATTAAAGAGCCTCGATGACCATTTGGTGCCTTGGAAGTTTTCTAGTCTTGTTCTGCTTCCAACATCCGCATCGCCCGTAAGTTTACAAAACCTAATCGCCCAGGTTTGGGGTCTTTGACTCATCAGAGAAGAATGCGGCAAATGAGTTATCTATTAATCCAAAATGCCTGAGCTGGAAAAATATTTCCCCAAGAACTTTTAACATTGAACGGAAGGAGGGGGCAGGGACCGGGAGGTGTCTTTTAACGAGAACTTTCCCCGAGTTTCTCCCTTACACCACGCACAGCAAACACACCCCACAACTTCCAACCCCAAGCGCAGACTGAAACCCCGGGTCCCCACACACCGAGGTCACCCACGAGTCACCTCTTGATTCCGTTTCTAAAACCCCGGGCAAACAAAGCTGAGCTTTACCCTAGCGCGAGTCCACCAAAAAGTCCTCAAGGTTACGCAATTTCAGGCACGCAGACGCGCGTGGACACAGAAGAACACTTTCCCCGAAGTTCCACCCTCCCTGGGCCAGTTTGGGGCAGCGCCTCGGGCACGGGCAGCTCCCGGAGCCCCTTCCCGGCGCCGCGCCCAGCGGACGAGCCCGCGGTCCCGTCCCGGGTGGCACCCGCCGCCCCCCGGGCCCCCCAGTACCTCTTCCTCCTGCAGGTTGGCCTCGCTCGGCGTGTTCTCCTTCTCAGCTTTGCCGCCGTTGTTCATCTTCCCGGTGCTCGTCCGCCGGGCAGGGCTGGGGCGCGGGGCTGGGCGAGGGCGCGCTCGCCCGCTTCTCCCCGCCGCGGGCGCCGCGGGCTGCGGGGGCTGGAGCCGGGGCAGCGGCGGCTCCGCTCCCGCGGCGCGGCGAGGCAGCGGGCGACTCGGGCAGCGCGAGCGGGACGGGCCGGGCGCGGCACGGGCCGACGAGCAGGGGTCGGAGACCGCCGGGACCCCGCAGGGAAACCTGGAGAGGGCGGGCGGGCGCGAGGGCAGGAGGAAGAAAGGATGGGACCAGGACGCGCGCCCTCCGGAGTGAGCCTGGAGTTGGGGATGTGGCCGTGCCGGGGCTGGGGGGAGGGGGCGCTGCCCGAGCCCAGCAGCGTCTGCGAGGAGGGGGCGAGGGAGCCTGGGGCGCGGGGGGAGAGGAGGAGGCGGTGCGGGCAGTGGGGCGCGGGCCGCGGCCGGGGCGCTGGGACGCGGAGAGCCGCGGAGTGCGCGCTCCTGGCAGGCTCTGGGAAGTCCGGGATCCAGGCGGCAGCCTTGCTCCCTCCCCTCTGCCCTCCCCTCCCTCGCCGCCTCCCTCCGCCCTCCCTGGACGTGGGCTGTCGGCGACGGCCCGGAGGGACGGGGCGCGGGACGGAGAAGCCCCCGCGGGGGAGGGGCTGCGCCGAGGGCGGCTGCCCCGCGGCCGGATGGCGCGCGCTGGGGAGGGGCTGCGGCTCGCGGGCGGAAGCGGCCGACCCGGGCCCCGACTCGGCGGTAGGTCGGAGGGCGAGGGCCCGGGAGGGGGGCAGGGGGGGGGTCGAGGGCCCGGGAGGGGGGGGCAGGGGGTTCGCCCTCCGGCTTCCTGCGCGCCTCGGGGCCGCCGCTGCCCGCGGGGTCCGAGTTCGCGGACTTGCAGAGCGGGGCGTGCGGGCCGGGGCTCGGGGAGGCCGGCCCGCGAGCGCGGCCGCTGGCTAGTGTGATGTGCTACTTTTGTGTGCTGGCTTTGCACAGGATTTGCACCCCTTTTCCTATGCAGACCCCTGCTTTTCAGTACCGCTTTAGACCCATTTCTTCCTTAGTCGGCAGCTTGAAATGACAGGAGGAGAACTCGAGTGACATCCGGGGGCCGCCCACCCGTTTTCGGGGCACAGCTTCAAACCCACCTTAAACGCGGGGTCCTCTGAAACGTCTCCAGCCTCCCGGCACCGGCCGCTGCTCTCAGCTACGCTTCTTGTGGCTTCTGTTCCACTCCTGTCTCCGGCCCTTTATCAGACTGTTCTGGAATGGAATTGTATTTGTTTACCTGACTGTTTCCCTTACCCTTCTGGGAGATCCTTCCTGGAAGGATCTCCTTGTTTATCTTTTTAATCCTACGGCTATTTGAATAGGCTACCTAGTATATAGTGGACACTCAATAAATATTTGTTGGCTAGGGGAATATTACTCACTCACTGCAAGCAGAACCGGAGGGCAGTACAAATGATCTTCAGAAGGTCAAAGTACGCTTAAGGAAGACACAGGCTCTGCAACTGGGAAGCCAGCACCGACCTCAGAGGACTGAGGTGGTTTCTCCTCCTGTGCGAAATGGGGGTAGGTATTCATGGCCCAGGTTTTTTCTGTTAGAGGGAATTAGCGGTTGATAGGTAAAGCTGTAGCACCTGGTACCCATTCTGACCTAGTTTAAGTTTAGTCTATGGAACTAACATTATTTTGAAGGAAATTTTTATTTTTCCTAGGCCATAGAGAGCGTTACCAATAATGTAGCACTTTCAAATTTAACTGCTCCATACACACAAGTGTTAAACTCCACATATCAGTAGATTCTCCCTCACTTTCCACTCCCAGGAATCTCTCACAGTCTGCTGTTCCCTTCCACTACAACACTAATCACAACTTCTATTTGTTTGCTAACTTAACTGTTTATCTCTTTCTCCCTCACTGGACATTCTTTAGACAGTGCTTTAAGTGCCAGTTAGGAATGGGGTGTGGGTGGGGTGGGAATTGAAGATAAGGCCTCTGCTTTTAGGGAGTTTAAAGTGGTGCTGTGGATAAGATACCCAAAACAACTTCACAGCAACATAATCTAAGATCCTGGTTCAAATTGTAGAAAGCGGAGAAATTATTTGCTTTAAGAGGATTCTGAAGACAAAAACAATAGTGATACTTGGATTTGGGTGGTTGGTAATGGGGAAGGAGTCAGAAGATTTTTATAAAGACACTTAATTGCTGTCATGATGTCATTTCTCGGGGTCGGGAGAGTGTATCTTGGGTGAAAATAAAGTAAGAGTCAATTGAAATTGCAATTGATGATCTTGAAGTTCACAAGAAGCAAGGACTACAATTAATCTGGAAACTTGGTCAGCCTTTCTGCTTCCAGTTTCTTCCGCAGTCAGACGGAGAACCGGGAGGGGGCAGTATTTACCTGAGCAATGGCTGAGTGGTGGTCTTGGGCCCCTGTGCTGTCTAGTAATGCCAGCACTTTGTCCTCCATGGCCATTCTTACCTGTTACTGAATATATTCAACAGAAAGTCATTGTCTTGCTGGAGCCTGGCAAAGGCCCAAGAAAAATGACAATTGATCTAGTCATTGATGGTTTCAGTCAGATTGCAAGTATTAGTAGATGTAATATGTCATGTGATTCCAGGATGCTGGGAGAATCTTCCCTGCCCCCACCCAAGGAAATAGGGCTTAATTCCAGTCATAAAACCTCATTCCTTTGTCTTTAGGCCAAGCCAGCACTTTGTCCATTGTTAAAAATCAAAACCCCCTGGATGAAATATGAGAATAGGTTCCACGAGAGGTTCCTTGTCTGGCTTGTTCTTTGTTGTGTCCCCAACATCTAGACAGTGCCTAGTAGTCGCTCAGTAATTATTTTTGAAGAGATGAACACACTGTCTTATCAATTATTGAATGAGTGGATGCATCTGGACACAAAGGGCCAGCGCAGGGCACTAAGCAAGGTCATAGTAAGGGTCTTTAGTCTTTATTTTGCAGGGTGGCGACCCTAGCTAGAAGCTTGTGCAGAATGGGATAATATTTCAAGAAATTTTAAAAACATCGCATCGCTCATCAAAGGGGCTCAAGACCAGTCTCCTAATCAACGGACACATCAGGCAATAGACAATAAAGAAGAGACCTAAAATATACAGTCAATATATAAGTGTAAAATTCAGGATGTTTTCAGAAAAGTGTCTGGGGAGATGATATGCTAGGGACTCCTGTTTTCTGTCCTTTTTATGAAGAATGGTTAAATCTTAGAAGAGTCATGTATTACCAACAAAACTGAATGAACATCTATAAAAAAAAGTGTGCAATTAATAAACCTTTGCAAGGGAAGTGAAGAGTTCGTGGAGGGTGGGATTAGGGAGGTAGGGAATGTACACTCATTCAGAATGTAAGTGATCTTTATGATCTGTTTGCTACTTCAGAGAAATAAGTTTGCGAAGTGGTATCTCCTCAGTAGCAATAGTTTCCAGACATACTGAGAGTTATAAGACAACAAAGAGACTATATATCCTAGAAAAATTGGGCTAATGACCAAAAAAACATCTGCTCTCTCCCCTGCCCACCACCCTATCTCATTGCTTCTGGCCTACAAGATTACATACTAGATTGAAAGGAAAATATTGTATGCACCTGTAGTTTTTATTACTCATCTCTGTTTCTCTGGCACTGTTCAATTTGAGGCTTTGCTTTAAGAAATCCAAACCTATAATTATGTCTTAAATGTTTGTCTCTGGGAATTGCAGCCATTAAGGGTCTATTTTGAGGCAATTTGCATGGCATGGGCTTTGTGTATTAGTACTGCTGCAGAAAGCTGCAGTATCTACCACATGTGTAGTGAGTATCTATTAACTCTTCTGCATCCTCAGCAGAACTTACTATAGGCTGGCCCCCCCAAAGTTAATGAGACCAGAGGCTGTTTTAATTGATTGTGGTATACTTAACACTTCTCTTCATCCCACCCCTGCCCACTTTCAGGCCATCAACATCTTCCTGGTTTTATTTTTGTTTGTATAATTAATTGCATAATTTATTTTTAATTGTAGTAGAAAGCATACAACAGAGGATTGACCATTTAACCATATTTAAGTGTACATTTCAGTCATGTGAAATATATTCATGTTGTTGTGCAACATCCTCCCAATTTTTACCTCCTAAATAGTTCTGAGATTCAGTCACTTCCCTCCAATCATTTGTGGAAGCCAAGCAGCCACGTGGGGAGGTTCACATGGAAGAGAACTAAGACTGGCTTACAGCTGTAAGCTGCAGCTGAGCTCTCAGCCCTCAGCCAGTACCAATTGCCAGCCTCGTGAGTGAATTATCTTGGAAATGCAAACTCTAGCGCTAGTTGAGCTGCCCCAGCTGACACCACTTAAAAGACAGATGAGCTGTCTTCACTGAGTTGTGCCCAAGTTACAAAACTTAGCAGAAAAGAGAACGCACTTGTTTCAAGCCACTAAGATGTAGGGTGGTTTGTTATATAGCACTGGATAACTGAAACATCATTTCATACCTAGAAGTGGGGTTCTGCTGACACAGAAACCTTAAGAATGTGGCAGTAGAATGGGTACAAGGTGGAGGATGTAAATGGGAAGAATTTTGAGGAGTCTGTTAGTGAAAAACACTGTAGGCTGGAGAAAAGGGGGCCCCTTTTATGTATTGGCAGAACATTTAGTTAAACTACCCTGCTGAATATGTGGGTCTGGCTAAGGAGATTTTTGGGTAGAATATTGAAAGGGTTGAATGGTTTCTTTTAGATACTTAGGATCTAATTCAAGAGAAGTGAGATGAGCTGGTTGTTTGTTTTGTTTTTTTAAGGAACTAAGGATTTGCCCAGTTATTTCTTATTCTTAGTTTTTCCAGCGGGCAAAACTCTCAAAAAGTCACCTGGAGGCAGGGTGAAATCCAGGGTGCTAACAGGAAAACGGCCTTATATAAGGATGTAGCTAGATGACCCCATGGCTGGCGTCTCTACAATGGCCCTTGATTCCTAGTCCCTGGTATTCAGCCCTCTGTCAACCCTTCTCCCTTGAGTGTGGGTGTAGAGGCAGTAATGGCCACAGTGCAGGTTTTC